AGTAGAAACAAAACCATCTGAACACTTACATTCCGAGGGCCTGGTCTAAGCAGTCTGGCAAATAGAGCTCGACACTGGAGTAGAACGCCCCGAGGTTCTGGCGTCGCCGTGTGATGTGCCAGCAAGCATCTGGGTTAGCGATGGCACAAACCTCTGTGTCCTTCGGATACGAGTAAAGGGTGCCGGAGAGCCCCAGCTCCCGGTAGAGGAACTCGCAGCTGCTGTAGAGCCTGCACTGCTTGGCCGACAGCACCTCGCCGGCAAAGAAGTACCGGCACTCAGACTTCTTGGCACACTGGGCTTGGCACTCCTCGAGGTCTGCGGCCTGCACGTCGGACTCCACGATGACTTGCAAGAGGTCCTCTGCCTTGACGCCACAGGCGAACTGGCCTGTCAGGATCGGGAAGGGCCTGGGCCGGAAGACATTTTTGCTGCCTGCCGGGATCTCTCCGAAGGCTTCGGCGGTCACGGGATCGTTCTGGCCCCAGAGGTGTGGGGCACAATGGCAGGGATGCAGCCAGTAGTCGAAGGGGATCTCCGTCAGCGGGTCGTCTACCATCACCGCCACTGCGCCGTCGGCTGTCTCAGCCCGGTCATCAGCCTCGCTCTGGGTCAGATTGGGTGCATCGCAGCGTAGCAGCTCCACTGCAGCTGTCAAGGTGTCCGACCCACCGGCAGTGTACGTGACCGCAAAGGTGGCGGTCCCCTGGTTGAAAACATCTGCGATCAGGTCTATGCCTCGCCATGCGCCATGTTAATTAACGGACGCAAAAAGGAAGTGCTGCACGCATGCTGTGGCCTAGGTTCAACACAACAGCAGCCTGAGTCGATCGTAGCCATCTCCTCGCCAGAGAAAGTCATGTACGCAGCAGAGGCATTGTAGAAGTCGCCTGGAAGTGTCAGTTGGCTTTCCTCTAACTCAAGCCCCGATCTCTCTTTCACCCGCACGCCTTGGGCAGGCTTCTGCAGAACCCACACGTCTTCGCCACGACTTCTACTGTGTAACCAAAAAGACTCCGAGTTCCCCAGACCCTCCTTCAGGAAGACCAGGCCACCTGTGCAGGGGCAAGTTGTTTGAGGCGCACATTGAAATCTGCAGCTCATGCACACTTGCACTGTGCACTTTTGCTTGGTTCTGACCTTCATATCTGTTCTCGCCATAGTAGCAGTAGCGCCCAGCTAAGAAGTGCTTCGACAAGCTCAGCTCGATGCATGTTTTCCGCTCAGCACAATCCGTGACGTGGGCAAAGAGCTGCCCGCGCACCTGCAACGGGTGAGAGGAGGGAGGACTCACATTTGGTTGAAACCTACTCGCGAAAAGTAGCAGCCGAGCGGCCGGGCTGCAGCTCGGGCTCGAGCTTGAGTCGCAAAGACCCGTGTAGCGAAAACAACTCGTGCTCTGATGGGAGTAGTACGTGCAAGCGATGTCGCTGCGGCAGGCTTGGCGGCACTCGGCAGCCGAGGAAGAGGTCTCAGAAACCTCGTGGAAATGGGGCGGGGTCGCAACAGGGACGAAGCAGGTGTCGTCTTGGGCGTTGAGAAAGAGTTCTGCTTCGATAGAAGAGCCAGCACCAAAGGGCAGGTACTGGTAGAGCCCAAAGATTTGGCAAGAGATGCTCAGCGTGGCTCGGGCGTGCGTATCAATCGGCATCGCGCTTGCAAGCTCCTCCGATGGGGCGAGCCGCACATACCCTGTCGTCAGGTCCAGCTCGAAGAAAGCAAAACCATCATACGTTCCCTGGCCGGACACGATGTCCAAGGCTACATTCCCCCCGTCATTGCTCGAGCATTTACCCGTGAAAACAGTGGGGGGCAGCAAGAACAAAATGCTCCGGCTCGTATGCATCGGCCGCAGCGCGGGTGCCACCTGCCCGACTGTCGCCTCCACGGTTTATTTCGGCGCACTGTAAAAATCTGCAGCTCTACCAGCACAAAAGTTCACATGGCCTCATGAGGAAGCAAGCGATTAAGCATCTGTAGTCTGTGCATTTGGACGGGGAAACCATGGGCATCCTCTTGGCCATGCAGATCATGCAGACTATCGGAAGAAGGAGTGGGTCTAGCCTGACATCTTTATCCGACATTCGATATGTTGAAGCCTGCCTTGAGAGGACTACTCTGATTCGCCCCCCGCTCGTAGACCATGTCAGCCCACGGTCTGGGGTAGACAGCAACGAAGTATGCAGCTGCCTTCAGGGAGCACGCGACCGAACTCTCGGAAAGACTACGCTGGCGGGCTCAGGGACTCAGAACACCCTAAATATTCAAAACTCAGATTCAAGCGCACGATGGAGACCCAAGCAGCAAGTAGCTGGACCGTGCATGTCTCACTGACTCCTGGTCTGGTAAACCTACATGCGCTGCGAATTCGTTGATTAGTCCATGTGGCCTTCACGGAGGGCGCTGAAGCCAGGCTGGCATTGGCCAGACAGATGCATCCCATCGAATCAATTGAGCCAAAGCCCGAGTTCCAAGTGATACCGCCGCCGGGACCAGTTCTGGATTTCCACTCGAGCTTTCCATCCTGGCCCAAGGTAAGCCTCGACGTCAATTCGGCCGGGTCGCAGCTCAGTTGGTCGAAGACCCATGAACTGCTGACGGCTGGCATTTGTTCGGTGGCAGCATTCAGAAAGACCAACCTGAGTCTTCGATGTCCGCAGCAAGATTCACCAAAGTGCATGATAGAAATACGAAAGTGGTGGTTGATCAAGAACTCAAAGCAGGGAAAAAGCCCTTGTGCAGTGAACAACTCATTCCGTTCGTTCGCTGTCTAATCGCGCGAACATCTCAACTCCTGTCCATACGTGATCATGTGAGTGCGACAGTACGGTGCAAAGCATGGGGTTGTTTCAGTGTTGATCGAAGTTTAGCCACTGGTTCGGGTGGTAAGGTTGAGTTGGGTCTGAACTTGAGGGAGCAGAGTTCACTGTCGGAATGATTTCGGGTTTCTTATGAATGTAAGTGTTGAATAAATCATCATAAAACCAACTGCTTGGCCTCGAATCTGATTCCGAGGAGCGGGTACTGTCCGTATGAGATGCGCTTCTCGGCCATGACCGTTAGCGTCGCGGATGCCGACAGAGTGCTTGTCTGATGGGCGATGATGGTGCAAGAAATGCTGAAAGCCTGTCGCAACCAGCACTGGACGGAAGGATGCGCGGGATCCAATGCACCAAAAAAAAAGCCAATAGAACCCGCCTCGAGGAGGCTGCCGCCCACCTGGCCAACCGCCGGAGCGATCTGTAAACTGCCCGTGGCCTGTGCTCAGCTGCAACAGATTTCAAAGCCCTGCTCTGCTATTATTCTGGTTGCACCTCGTGGCAATAAGGATAAAAGCTAACAGCACTTTACAGCATCACATGGATAAGTGTCGCCATCGATAGCCAGGCCGTGCTCCAAGAGCTTGCAGTCCTCATTGATGGTGTAGTTGATCGCAGTCCGTGGAACTGGGAAACCAGTGATCGAGGTTGCATAAAGCACTGTCGGCGCAACATAATAGGTGAAGGGCGTGGCGGCCCGCTGTCCACCACCGCACTCGCAACAAGCTTGGTTGGAAGAGAGACCATAGTACGTGGTGTCACTACAGGCTGCTTGGATACAGTTCTCGCCGTCCAAGTTCGTCCAGCCTGGAGTGTCCACGCAGGCCTCGCAACGCCCCTCGCCGGCAACTTCCACAAAGCCGGGAGAACACTTTGCACAGCTGCTGCCATCGAGCTGGAAGCATCCTGGCCCAGCGGAGCAGTCAACCCTTTGCCCCACCAGTGCCCACAACTACATGCGGCAAACTTGTAACCGTGGGTGGCACCACATGGACACCAACAGTCGTCTTTAGAAGGGGGATTTTAGGCAGGTTGTGAATGGTTGTGCAGTTGGCGTTGACGAACAACTGTTCCTGTTCCAAGCTCGGTACTTAAAACAGAAGTTTCCGGATGCTACGCAAAAGCAACAAAGTCACAGGACATCGGACAAGGACGACTCGCCCAACCTGTTCCGAACTTGTCTTCACCTCCGCTGGCGAATTCCAAAACTCAAACCCGACATGACCTTAGCCCTGTCCTGCGCAGTAGAGGGCGGCTTCGGGGCAACAAGCGTAGTTTCCCGTGCTTAAGTCGAAGATTGGGAAGCCGGACGGGCAGGTCTCTTCCACGTGGGACATCTGCCTCGAATCCGCCCGTGCTGTCTGCGCCAACGTCCGGGGCACCAGGCAAGTCTCGAACAACTCCTCTGAAGCTACGGGCACTAAGCCTAGATGTAAACTGGAAGGGGTTCTGCAAACACCTCAGCTGAAGCCCGTGGGAAAACCAAAACAGCGAAAATCGGTAGTCCTCATTTCGAGGCTTGCTTCGTCTGTTTTCCTTGGCCTGTACATGGTGCACTGGGTCTTTATGCGGGGTTCGAGTTGTTCAGGGCTTCGACTTGCACAGCTGGGACAAGTCATGCAAGATTCAAGCAAACGACTGAGTAGATGTTGACAGTTCGGTTCCCTGCGACTGCATCTTGAGAGAGCAGCACTATCGATCGTTGCCGAGTGCTTGTTCCCATTCTTTGCGGAATTTCCGGGCTCTGTGAAGGATTGACGCAGTGAGTGCAAACCAACCCCTTTGCAGACGGAAGAAATATCCTCCGCATAAGCTTAAGGTTGCAGGCTGGTTGATGGTTTCGCTCTGTTTCGCTGGTCGGAGTCCACGGCTTTCGAGCCCGGCCTCAGAGCTCGCAGGTTCGCTTGCTTCCAACAGGTCGAGCTTTCGAAAGGCCGTCTGGATGAACTCCTCCATTTGGTCCTGAAGCTTGGGAAGAGAGACCCCCCGAAATTCTGCAGCTTTGTTCTCTCCCTGTCCTCTTGCTCGACATCACTTTGAAGATGCGGAGGCTTTCCTCGCACCTTCTTTTGAAGCAACGCTGTCGGGTCACCACACGAAGTATTCCGCACATCGCCCACAACTGCCAGAACAAGGCAGAAGAGGAGCACTGCGGAGGCCATGGGCATGCCTCTCCGGAGAGTCAGTGGGATTCCCACATAGAATGCAAGGGCTTCTAGGGTTATTTTTTGACCAAGTTTCTACCAATCCCTCTCTTGAGGAAAATCGGCAGTCATGCGCCATCATGCGCCTCCTCGCTTGTGGGCATAAATTCAAGCTGCATGGTACAGTATTTCAATCGGATGACATGCTACGGTTTTGGCTCACGCAATGACCTCGTGTGGATCAGCGTACTTGAGTAGTGTTGTCGAATTGTGCGTCCGTTCTTGTGACAAGACTTCTGCAACAGAATTGGCATCAGCGTGTTCACTTCAGCCAAACGCTCACCATCGGGATTCCGCCGTAATTCGCATTCGGCCAATCGGTGTCGGATGTGGGCGCATCGTAGCCGTTCCCAGACTGCCAGAAGTCGTCGTAGCGTGTCGAACTAGCTGGCTGAACACCAACGGCCATACACAGATCACCTCCCCGTGTGAAGCCGATGTCATTGTACGTAGCTGCTGGGTATGAGCCGCCATGGGACTGCTCTTTCATGATGCCGTAAGTATTCTGCCAGCACGTTTCGCTAGCACCGTTTTGGTCGTAGACCTGCACTTGGTGGCCTGTCGCTGCTCTGATTGTCTGAAAACCTCAGGCGCATTACAAGAGTTCATGTGTTGCGAACCGCACCTGACCTTTACCCGCCTGCTCTGTGGTTCCACCAAGTCGATAGCTGTCGCTCCACATCCATTTGCCACCTGACGGCTTATGCCCAACGATCGCATCGTTGTGGCGCAGATGTGTCAACATGGGAAGTGCAAAGACACGCTGAGGTGGAGCGACCGCCTACAATACTACTAGTAGCAGCCGCACGTAGGTCCCTAGTTTATCCGCCGCAGGCCCTGAACACTGCCCACACTTCCACGCTCCGGCCTGACATAGCTGGTGACATCCCCGTTGCCTTGCTTTTTTGGGTTGAAAGCACTATCGAGGACATGGGAATCGTGAAAAGCTCAAAGGTCATCGGATGTACATGAAACGCGTTATTCAACCAAAAGGCTTTTGCAAAGAAGCGCTGGTATGTATTGGGTTTCTTCAAAAGGGTGGAAGTGCTGGAGACCTTTGGACAGCATTCCCTCACCCGAAGCACTATCCTCGACAAGACGAGCATCTGAACCGGATCTCTGACGCGCAGTTCACGGCCAGGTCCACCGCAGGGATGGAGGCCCACCTTAGGCTTCAAAGCTCTCGCTGAGCTTTCCGCGACCCTCAACCTATGACTCTTACTGACTTGTGCGCTTGTTATCTCGGATGATCTCGGATGCATCATAACTCGACGGAGCTCGGAAGCTGACTGCTTACTCGAGACCGATTAATTACCAGGTCTGTGACCAGGGCCTTGCTCACATGCTTTTCTGTTGGCTCTCTGTGTTTCTCTGCAGTCTTTCTTGACTTGGACCTTTGGGGCCCATAAGCCACTACAAGCTTATGTATTGCCAGCTCCTTCCCGTTCAATCCGTTCAACTCGACTCTACCGCATCTTTGCACCAAGTTAAGATCGAACTCTTGGCAAGACGCTCCGAGACTGCAGGGTGTGCCGAGTTGCCGCTACATACAACTTGACAGCTGCAACCACCTGGAACGAGGGCCCCTTGCTCGACCGCCGAGCCACATGTTGGAGGTGATGCTTGGGGTTTTGAGCTCCGTTTCGTTGCGGTACGTCCGCAGCCAGTCTTCAAAGATCAGAAATCGGCCCTGGATCTGGCCAACAAGCGTCCAACCTTCGTGTTGCGAGGCCAGCGCCACGAATGGGGCGAGATTGGCCTACTGCCGCAAATAGATTATGAAGTACGGCCAATGAGTGACAAGCCCAACAACTCCCAACCCTTGGTGAACTCAGAGTCTTTCACCCTCCCGGAAAGCCGACTCAGTCCTACCTCCATTTCTCATGTCGCAGAAAAGGTCCACATCTTGGACATTCCCGTCCAAATCTCGGATTTTCAAGGTGTAGACTCCGTCCTTGTGTGCCAAACCATGAACCATCCTTTAAGCACTAGAAATATGAAGCCCCTGCAGCCAAACTCCACAAGGCTTTCGTTGACTCCGTCCTTGCTGGCAGGAGCGCTCTGAAATATGTCCAGACAGGAGGCCTTAGGGCCAGCGGAGTCTAGACCGACACAAAGCTGCTGCAAAGTCTGGACACAAACCACTGTGCAGCGGGAGCGGCGGGATGCTGTCGACAAGTCCCAGTGGTGGTCGTGGTGGAGGCGGCGGCGGTCGTGGTCGTAGCCGTGGTCGTGGTAGTGCTGGCTGCGGTCGTAGTCGTTCTTGACGTAGCCGGCGTAGTCGTCGTCGTTGTGGTGGTGGTGGTGGTGGTGCCTGCGACCGTCGTGGACGTAGATGAAATTGTTGCTAAGGTTGTCGTGGATGTGGTCGATGTAGTGGGTGTTGTGGGGCCAATGCCTGCAGACCTGGAGCAGCCAAGCTGAACAAGTAATGCCAAGAACAAAAGTATACAAAAGTGGTAAGCGCATGACGTGAGGGTGAGCGTCTCGGTGTTGTTGCCAAAACGCAGCACGGCGGGCTGCTGCACAATGTACACGCAAGCTGACGGTGCCACAGTAAATGTCAAGGTCTTAGCCGACAAAGGTCATTGGACCACAGCATGCCGAGTCACAGTCACACTACCATGCATTACAAGACCAAGCACAACACAACGTACAACAACGCGTCCGTGCAACTGCCCGCGTGTCCCTACCGGTGCCGTTCCAAGGATTCGGGCAGTTGGGGCCGTTGTCGTTGACACAGCCTAAGGGCAGAACATGATGTAAACAAAAAAATCCACTTCAATGCGCATGGCCCTGATGCCGATGGCAAGCAGCCCACAAGCCGGCAGCTGCCGTTGTGGGACAGGAAAGCCGACAACATCGCATCGAAGCTGGGATCATCGTCGCAAGTGGACGCCGTCACCACCCGCGATGTTTCACCGTCGTTGCAATACTTGAAGAGCTCCTATCAGGAGATCAACAATGTAAGCAAAACCGGTCCACCTCAATTCAAGTGACTGTTGACGGGGTTTGACCGGCATTCAGCCAGACGAAATAGACCAGCCCCGCACCTGTGCTTGGTTATGCCTGTGAGATTATTCACAGATCGTGTTTGCCGTGTTGATCTGTCGGGTGATGCAGAGGGAGGCGGCCGGGCTGTGCACATGAACACACTCTGCAATTTAGAATCTGGCTCCCGGTATAGGCAGAGCCTGCAAGTCACAGGATGCAGCTTGGCACCGGAAGACTTCTCCGGGTCCTGAGACGCGTTCGCGAAGAGGAGGCAGCCCGGGAAGATCGTTGCTTGCGAGGCTGCACGGGATTGACTGTCGCTGATTGTGAACGTGCATGGGAGCTGGGACTCCTGACACACCTTAGGCGCCATGATCCTCGTGAGACCCGTGCAACCCTGGGCCCTTGAAAGCCTTTGACACCTTTCCGAAGCCTCACAATCAATGCCCTAACGCATGGTTTTTGAGCCGACGGCGCCGGCTCTGTTAAGTCCACACCTGGCTCACAGAGCCCAGGTGGCGGCGTAGGGATCGGGAGGCCCAATGGAACCTGGTCATCGGCGAAACACCGAGGGAATCGGGGAATGTAACGTGGATGTTGTCAGCATTTGGTGGTGTTGGGCCGTTCGCTTAACAACAACAAGCTTGATGGGATTGCAAACAAGAAACCGGCACAGCAGTCTCAACTAGCCGATCCACGCTCTTGCTGCTGTTGTCAAGACTCGCAATTTGCAGGGCCTGCTGCTCCAAGACCTCTTCCTGCTGACGTGCCAAAACGTCTTGACTCTTCATGACCTCCTCGTGCTGCCTCTCCAGGTCCTGGACGAACGAAGGACACGCAACGATACTGCACACTGCCGACATACCAGCTTGGGCGAGCCGCAGTGGAGCTCGTGTAAGCCTTCATTGCAACCCACGGTTCTTCGAAATGTTCGAATCCAAGCATATCTCCATACACCACAAACGCAAACTCACTTTTTTCTATTCTTATGATATCCTGTGTGAAAACCGAAGATTATATACACAGACTTGCAAAATGACCTGCTACACTTGGCGCAAGCTGAATCAAACTTAGTTCAACATCCACTGGAAGAGCCTGGACCCAAGAAGGAGGCGGAGCTGGTTGCTTGCTCTCAGCATTGGTGTCGGCCAACGCCAGGCGGTTTTGTGCCGGCCCACATCTTAGCTTCTTCCACCGTGTCCACAGCCTGGAGAATGCTCACTGGATACCAGGCAACACGGAACATGCGAAGGGCTTACAAGTGTGAACACCGCAAAGTTCCCCCCCAAAAAAGAGCAAGAAACACAGAAAAGGGAACCAAAACACATGATCCCCCCCCTGCACGGCTATGATACCGGGCAACTCCCTGGCCGTGCCCTCAGCGGACACGGCC